CCCCCCCCAAAAAGGAAATTATGATTTTTGGGCTGGACACATTGGCTCATGCCTATAATCCTTGCACTCTAGGAGGCCAAGGCAGGTGGACTGCTTAAGCTTAGGAGTTCAAGACCAGACTGAGCAAGAATGAGACCCCATCACTACTAAAAGTAGAAAAACTAGCCTGGTGTTGTGACACTGGCTTATAGTCCCAGCTATTCAGAAGGCTCAGGTAAGAGGATCTCTTGTGTGCAAGAGTTTGAGGTTGCTGTGAGCTATAATGCCACAGCAATCTGCCCAGGGCGACAGAGAGACTCTGTCTGAAAACAAACAAATAAAACTAGAGTTCATTTTCTGATTTTGTTACTTTGAATAAATGTAGATGAGCCACAATTCTTGGCAACAATTTCCAGACACCCAAAAATGGCAATAGTCTATTACTAAGATGTGTATAATTTTTTTTTTTTGGTAGAGACAGAGTCTGACTTTGTCCCCCTCAGTAGAGTGCTGTGGCATCACAGCTCACAGCAACCTCCAACTCCTGGGCTTAGGCGATCCTCTTGCCTCAGCCTCCAAGTAGCTGGGACTATAGGTGCCCGCCACAACGCCTGGCTATTTTTTTGTTGCAGTTTGGCCGGGGGCTGAGTTTCAACCTGCCACCCTAGGTATATGGGTCCAGTGCCCTACACACTGAGCCACAGGTACAGCCCAGATGTCTATATTTTTGAGACTCTTATAAAAGCTAACACTGGGAATGGGTGCGGTGGCTCACACCTGTAATTTCAGCACTCTGTGAGGTGGAGGAGGGAGGATCCCTTGAGTTCAGGACTAACCTGAGTAAGAGGGAGACCCCATCTCTACTACAAGTAGAAAAAAGGAATAAATTAGCCAGGCATTATGGTGGGTGCCTATAGTCTCAGCTACTTGGGTGGCTGAGGCAGGAAGATCGCTTGAACCCAAGAGTTTGAGGTTGCTGTGAGCTAGGCTGACACCATGGCACTCTTGCCTGGGCAAAGACTGAGAGGCTATCTGGAAAAAAAAAAAAGAAGCCCATATAAGGTATTAACACTCTTCCTAGTCATTCAAAAAACTATATTTGAAATTATAAACTGAAAAAGTATGTTATTCTTACCAGTAAACTTATGGTAACTTGGTTTTCTGAGCTGGTTAACAGGTCTAAAGAAAGCTTCTTAAAATTATTATGACTGTGACCAAAACTTACTGATGTAAGCATATATATAAAGAAAAGCATAATCAGAAAGGTGTACCATTTACTGATCGATGTAAAAATGGAAATAAAATTTCTCATACTGCAAATATAAAATGGCATATATATAACATAATATGTCCTTGCAAATTCACGTAAGTGAAACATTATATATTTAAACATAGTTTGCCATTGTTACTTCTTTTCATTTCTTTTAATTAATAGACTTCGTTTCATAGAACACGTTTAGGTCCACAGAAAGTACAGAGTTCCCACATGCTCCCTACACACGCGCACATGTCATACAACTGACGAGCCTCCCGACACCCGTCATCACAGCAAGTCCACAGTCTACATTATCCTTCACCTTAGGGACTGTGCCATCTACGGGCTTTGACAAATACATGACAACAAGCATCCACTGCTACAATAGTCATCCACTGTATGACTATTCTGAGTCATATAGAATAGTTTCCCTGCCCTAAAAATCCTCTGGGCTCTGCCTGAATTAGAACACTAGAATATTGGGATATATTACGAATTCTAATGTAAACATAGCTTGCCCTGGTTACTTACCTCCTTTGATCTATTTTTCAAAGCTCCTTAGGTATCTAAATATTGCTTCTTTGATAATTTAGTAGTGTACATCACAAGGTACTGTAACTAATGTCTACCTCACCAGTCTGAGAGGCAATGGAAAATGTGAGTAAAAGACCTAGGTAAGAGGAATCAAATTATCATTAAATAAAAGAACTACATGAAAACTACCTTCAAGGCTCGGCGCCTATAGCTCAACCGGCTAAGGCGCCAGCCACGTACACCTAAGGTGGCGGGTTTGAATCCCCAGCCCGGACCCGCCAAACAACAATGACGGCTGCAACCAAAAAATAGCCGGGCGTTGTGGCGGGCGCCTGTGGTCCCAGCTACTTGGGAGGCGGAGGCAGGAGACTCGCTTGAGCCCAGGAGTTGGAGGTTGCTGTGAGCTGTAATGCCACAGCACTCTGCCCAGGGGGACAGCTTGAGGCACTGTCTAAAAAAAAAAAAAAAAAGAAAACTACCTTCAAAATGTTTTGTGGCTCTTTGATACACCCTCAATATAGATAGAGTCAATCAATTGGTCCAAAAACCCCAACTCCTATAAACTGGACTCTTATTTAGACAGCAAGTCCAAAAGTCAGATCTATTTACGCTTCACTTTTTTTCCTTATCCATGGTCAGAAACTATCTCTGAGCCAAGTGAAATATCTGATAAGGCTGAAAATGGATAAAAAACAGGATTTATTTTGAGCCATTCCATAATATACCTTGTTTAGGACAAACTATATAGTTAAAGACAACAATAAATATACATACAGAAAAGGACTAAGGTGTCATAAAGGTCATAAAGTATAACCAAAAAGTTTACAGCTGTAATTATAATAATGATGCACTGAGTACCCAGCATGCATGTGCCGTACGCTGTGTGTGTGTTATCTCCAGAACAACCCTGGAAGGTAGACGTATCGCTGTCAGAGGTTCAGTGAGAACAGCTGGTGAGGAGTGGAGCTATTTCAAATGCACATCTTGCTCCAAAGTTCAAGTTCTTCTCAACATGTAATTTCACTGCTCAATAACAGTTCATAGAAGCCATTGTGACTACAGGTCTTTAGAAACAGAACAGCGAGAGGACTTTAAGCTTTCAAGTTCTCTTCCTTCAGAAAGAGAGAAAAAGTAATACACAGAACTTTGACCTGAGTTAGAAAACAAGTGGTAGCAGCTAATGACCAGCAGGTGTCAAATGATCACAGAAGCCAGGCAAAGAACACAAATATGGGAACAGGGCAAGTTCTAAGAATACGGAACTGGAGTCAGCATGCCCAAGTTGAAGAGGTTTAAAACCCCCATCAAAACAAAACAAAACAGGCCGGGCACAGTGGCTCATACCTGTAATCCTAGCACTCTGGGTGGCCGAGGTGGGTGGCTTGCCTGAGCTCAATGGTTCAAAACCAGCCTGAGCAAGGGTGAGACCTGGCCTCTAAAAATAGCTGGGCGTTGTAGCAGGCAACTGGGAGGCTGAGTGAGGCAAGAGACTCACTTAAGCTCTAGAGTTTGAGGTTGCTGTGAGCTGTGACGCCAACGCGCTATACTGAGGGCAACAAAGTGAGACTCTGTCACAAAAACAAAACAAAACACAAATCAACAGAACAGTGTTTATCTGGAACAATACCCAACTAAAACATCTGTATTCCCTAACAGCTTGGGCTCCTAGATTAGTGTATGGAAGGAGTGTGTGAACTTGAGGGAGAAAAAGAAACCAGAGTGGGTTAGTTCGATATAAAACTTAACCCTGGACCCTTTGAAATGAAAGGTTCGTGGAAATGTTTGTTAGGGGATAAGGTATTGGGAGAGCACAGAGAAGCCTAAAAGAGAAAGGAACAGGAGAGACTACCAAGCCTGGCTGACTTTGTAGGCATGCCTAGTACAACAGATGTTTTAAATGTTTGTATTTCATAAAATTTCAGGACAATCTCTTAACCTGGGGCCAGAGACTATCAGTGATGTTATAAGGATTTAACTGCATATTATCAAGCTTTTACTGAATATAGTCATATGCTTTTAGAGGATAGATACCAAAGTCCATTTACTAGAAAGTAATACTCAACTGTACTTAGAGTCATAGCTAATGTCTGATGTAAGAAAACAATGATCAAACCCTTCAAAAATCAATAATAACTTTTTACCTTAGAATTTTTTTCCCAAATATTTATTTTAATCCCATTACCATAAAATTTTTTCAAAATTAAAGTGAAATTTCTATTGGCAAACTGCTAATAATACACAACATTAAGAAAAAAACCAAAATGCTAAACCAAACCATCTCTGCTAAACTGGCCTTCTTGAGTTATAAATTCAAATCTCCCTTTCTGAACTCAAGTATATGCCTTAATTGCTGTTTGTTCAGCTAGAACACATATATTTCAGTTTTTCCCACATTTGAAAGATGAATTTGATCCATTAAGTCAAAAAACATTAACCAATACATTAACTTCCTTTTAAATGCTAAGATTTTGAGCAGTTATGATGAAATTATACACAAATGCCACATTCTCAACTCATGTGCATACTTCAGAGAATTAGAGTTCTGCCCAATGTTTTTTATTTTAAAAAAAACCCCAACATTAAAGGTCTAAGAACTGGTTCATGGTACTTAGCTTGCAAATTCACATATAAGTATTTCCAAATTTCCACTATCTTAAAAAGCAAAAACTCAAGCTATAGCAATAGTACCAACCCAAAAGAAATTAGAAGAGTTGAAAAAAAAAATCCAACAAAACTAAGCCAACTACTTCTATGACAAACACAAGTAAAATGAAAGCAAACAAATAATCCATGAACTTACTTTCTCTAATAACAGCTATTATTTACTGAGTGACTCCTAAGTGCCAGACACTATCTCAAGCACTGCACTTACATTATTCTCATTTAAATAGGCACCATGACCCCCTGAAGTTGAAACTCTTATTATCTTTATTTTACAAATGAGGGACTTGAGACTTACATAGGTTGAAGAACTTGACCAAGGTCACCGACTTTTGAATCTCATTCTTTCTGAGATTCCAGAATCCAGTCTTACCCATAGCAACCTACAGACCGTTGGGGCTGAAACATCTTTTGCTTGTCAGGTTCTAACGCTTGTTAAAATCTTTTCTGCACAATGATAGATACCTAGCTTTCACAAAGGTGTAAAAAGGTCCAGGGAAAACCTACTACCAAGACCTGTCCAAAATCTGCTTCCTTAGAATCTCTGGAACCCAGCACTTCCCTCCATTCTCAATACCATCATCTCTGTGCAGGTCACCTACACTTCCAGTTTACTACCAGGTTTTGGCTGGTATTCCTACCTGTAATCCCACCCCCTCTACATTCAAGTCTACAGAATTTAGGCAAATCTATCTTTTTAAAATGCAAACCTTACCAGCAACTGCCATCACTATGAGAAAATATTCAAAATTCCTAAAAAGCTTCGAGGACTCTTCCATGCCCTGGCCCTTGTCAAGTCTCTTCTGTATCTTTTTTAAAAAACTGCTCACCACAGCTTACGCTTCAGTCACAAATTATTCCTAAGTACAGCTGCCCGAAGAAACCAAGCTCACACAGCTTCTAGGTCGTCCTAACAGCATGAGGACACTGCCATTTTCCCTCCTCTCCTCATCCCTTCTGCCTTTTGTTCTGTTTAATCACATTTCATCTTAGAATCACATTCCCTCCCTTCTCCAGGAATCTTTCCCCGACTTCTCAATATTTCAAAATGTCCCACAGCTTTCCTGTGTTTATCCTTACCATACACTGACGTCTGAATTCCCACAATGACACGTAATCACCAATGTGGTCATGTTAGGAGGTAATTAGTGGTGGGATGGCACCCTCATGAACAGGACAAGTGCCCTTGTAAAAGAGACCCCTTGCTGCCAGTGAGGACACAGGCTCTCCAGACACCAAATGCACTGATGCCTTAATCTTGGACTTCCCAGCATTTAGAACTGTGAGAAATTTCTGTTGTTTATAATCTAGCCAGTTTGCCATGTTATAACAGCCCAAGTAGATTTAGATAACCATAGCACATACCCCAGTGGATTATAAATGTTGGCCTACTCCCCCACAGGCTATAAGTTCTTTGTGGGCAGGGCCTGGGTATTTTTTATTTAATTTCTACTTTTTTTTTTTTAAACTCCTCAAGGAATAAACCTGGGCCTTTTTAACTTCCTCTTCTTCTTCCTTCACTGAATATAGTGCCTGGCATATGGGTTGTTCAATATATCCACTCTAATAAAAACAAATAATAGTAACTTCTTATCTATTTAATGCTTCATGTCTTATTTGCTGTCATTGGATTCTCGCCTAGTGCCGGTGCTACAGAAATGTCCAAAGTTCATCTAAAGACCTAAGAATTCTACTCATAACATAAGCTCATGATTACGGCTGAAACTATTTACTCCATTTGGATTAAGTCAGAAGTAAAATAAGAACTGGCCTTGCTCAATAAGCTAATTAAAAGTTGCCCCTACAACCATTACATCAATTAAAAACCTATAAAAAAGAAGCTGTCATTTGTACTATTCTCAAATAATAATTTATAAGGCAAATCTGTCATTAATAGCAGTCTTAGGCTCTGCACCTGTAGCTCAGCGGCTAGGGCGCCAGCCACATACACTGGAGGTGGAAGGTTCAAATCCAGCCCAGGCCTGTCACACAACAACCGCACAACAATGACAACTACAACAAAAAAAATAGCTGGGTGTTGTGGCAGCGCCTGTAAGTCCCAGCTACTTGGGAGGCGGAGGCAAGAGACTCGCTTAAGCCCAAGAGTTTGAGGTTGCTGTGAGCTGTGACACCACAGCACTCTAACCCAGGCAACAGCTTGAGACTCTGTCTCAAAAAAAAAAAAAAAGCCAGCAGTCTTAAAGTCAAATAACATTTTTAAAAATCAGGAGAGACATTTAGATACACACTTTGTCCTTCTACTTACTCTATTAGGCGCTTTGGGGATGAGCCACTTTGATGGAACTCATCAGCATCATAGAACTCATCTTCACTGCTAGAGTAAGAAAACTCTGGGACTGTATTTGGAGATAAGTTGACATGGCTTGGAGAAGTGAGACTGCTACTCGGTGGTGAATGGCCACTGCCTAGAAAGTTAAAAAAGTTTTTAATTAAAGAAAAATATTGGCATTAGAGGAGAAAAAATTAGTGAGATGGGGTAAGAGCAGATCTTTCTAAAATTAAGAAAGTCTGGGTAAGCTGGAAGAAGGCCCTACATGATTTATAAAGAAGATCAATATTTAAGCTACACAAAGAAAAAGGCAAATAATGTTACAGAATGAGGATTTTAAATAATTTTAAATAAATTTTAAATTTTAAATAAATTTTAAATAAATGAAAATAATGCTATGTCCTCACTCCTCTAAAATTAGGAAGGGAGCTCTTGATTATGTAAGTTTTGGTGTTGGAAGTTCCACAACAAATTTGCTTTTTCATAAATTTTACAGTACCAATGAGAAGCTACGGTTCTTATTTTACACTGTAGATCCAGACTGGGTCTCACTCTGGCTCAGGCTGGTCTTGAACTGGTGAACTCAGGCAGTCCCCCCACCTCAGTCTCCCAGAGTGCTAGGATTATAGGTGTGAGCCACAGTGCCCAGCCAAAAGATAACCTTTATCTTCTAAAATAATTTTACCATTTATGTATGTAAGGAAGAGCTCCTCACTTTTTCACCTTATAAAAAAAAAAGCAGAAAAAAATACAAGGTACTATTTTTTAAATGAATATGGTAATACAGGTCATGAAATACAGAAATCAGCCAAAACATTTCAACTTCATTTTTAATATTGTTTATCAGGGCTCAACACCCATAGCACACATACACTGATGTTGGCAGGTGTGAGCCCAGTCCAGGCCTGCTAAACAACGACAACGGCAACAAAAATTTAGCTGGGCATTGTGGCAGGCACCTGCAGTCCCAGCTACTCAGGAGGCTGAAGCAAGAGAATCACTTAAGCCCAAGAGTCTGAGGTTGCTGTGAGCTCTGACGCCATAGCACTCTAGCGAGGGCAACAAAGTGAGACTGCCTCAAAAATACATGAATAAATAAATAAATAATAAAATAAAAATAAAATAAAATTGCTTATCAGTATTTTCCTAAGAGCTTCAAAGTAAGAGAACTACTTGTTAATGATTTTTTTCAAACTGCAGAATGCCTCTGCCATTGTTATTAAACACTGCAGTAATAGCGTCAGTACTTTTACTAATTCCAAGTTTAAAAGGGGCTAAAATCACACCGTAATGTTTCATTATTATAAAGGGAAAGAAATCTGTGGAGGAACAACAGAGGCTGATCTCAGGAGTGGTTCTGGTTTTAGTCTCCAGGTTTAACAGGGTCAAAAGCATTAAGTGCTTCCTTGGGTTTGGTGCTACAGGTAACGCAACATAAATTTACTTATTTTTTTTTTTTTTGAGACAGGAGCCTCAAGCTGTCCCCCTGGGTAGAGTGCCGTGGCATCTCAGCTCACAGCAACCTCCAACTCCTGGGCTCAAGCGACGAGTCTCCTGCCTCTGCCTCCCAAGTAGCTAGGACCACAGGCGCCCGCCACAACGCCCTGCTATTTTTTGGTTGCAGCCATCATTGTTGTTTGGCGGATCCAGGCTGGATTCAAACCCACCACCTAGGGTGTACGTGGCTGGCGCCTTAGCCACTTGAGCCACAGGCGCTGAGCCGCAACATAAATTTAATTAGTTTCAAAACAAAAAATAAACCTAACATCTAACATTAATGGTATCCTTATAAAATAAAGAAAAAAGAAAAACCATAAATCGAAACAAATTAAGAAAATACAAATAAAAATGAAGCATCAAATGAAGCATCTTTTTTCTGCCTACAGAACTGACTAAAAGTGAAAGACCAATCTATGTTTCCCAAAAACACACGCAGGTGCCAATGGTGCCATCAAGGGGGATCACTGAAGTTTGCTCATAGGAGAAAAATACTGGAAATAACCTAAATGCCCATCAGTGAACCAAGCAAGTAACCCCCGCCCAGACAGCTGTAAAAAGAATGCTGTAGACCTAACTGCATGAACATGGAAAGCTCTCTCAGTCTGCTCTGCTAAACGAAAACGGCAAGTCACAGAAACACATGACCTCCTTCAGGTTAAAACAACAACTGTGGCTCAGTGAGTAGAGCAATGGCCCCTTATACGAAGGTGGCAGGTTCTAACCTGGCCCCAGCCAAACCGCAACAAAAAAATAGCCAGGCGTTGTGGCAGGCGCCTGTAGTCCCAGCTACTCGGGAGGCTGAGGCAAGAGAATCACCTAAGCCCCAGAGCTGGAGGTTGCTGCGAGCTGTGAAGCCACTGCACTCTACCAAGGGTGACAAAGTGAGACTCTGTCTCTAAAAAAAAAAATAAAAAACCCCCAAGACAACAAACATCCATGCCACAGGAGTGCAGGTACATCCGTGCAGGCCAAAGACTGAGGGAGACTAGGAGCCTTTCAGCTTTTCTTCAGCTTCTTCAGAGTCCATGAAGAGCCTGCAAGTCTAAGTCGGGTACCTTTTTAAAAAAAGTCAGTACAGATCCCCCAGATAAATGTTAAAATAAACAAATAAAACCTTGTAATATTTTATTTTACTTAGATGATAATTACTACAGCTTCTGGTTCGATCACAAAGTTAAACACTTCATGCATGGAACTCTAATGGTAAAACTAAGTGCTTCCAACAGAAACACGTAACACATTTCATCAACCCTTTTATTCCCCTTCAGAGGCCCAACACGAATTCCACATGTTAATAGTGACTTAAAGGAAGAACAGAATGACACAATCCGTACCTGTACTATTAGGTGTTGGAGTCTGATGATGTCCCAAAGTAGCTAATACGGGTCCAACTGGCAGGGAAGACGGACGCTGCTCTGACTTACACAACTGAGCAGGTTCTAGGAGACGTGAACATGTAAAATAAATGAGACAAACAGCCAAACACACACTCTGTTGACTGCGACTGTCTGGGATTCAAAATCTTAAAGATCAGTAATTTTTGAAACTATATTATTTCAGTAAGTCAAGTTCCAAGCTGCTGCAGTCTTTTCTGACATTCTAGGCTATTAAAATCAATGACTGTATGCTACAGAGTGCAGGGACGCCAGGGAGCACATCAGAAGACCAGCCATGGTAGCCTTACACCACAGCACAACTGCTCCGTGAAGCCAACAAATGCTTCTGATGCAGCACCACCTCAAGTCCCAAGAAATATTAAGCTAATTTTCCCAAGAAATACAAATTCAGAAAAGAATTTCACATACTTATAAGGGTTTTATTTTTTTTGAAACAGGGTCTCACTCTGTCACCCCAGCTAGAGTGAGTCACATCATCATAACTCACTGCAATCTCAAATTCCTGGGCTCAAGCGATCCTCCTGCCTCAGCCTCCCAAAGTGCTAGGACCACGGTCAGGAGGCACTGTGCCCAGCCACTTGTAAGTATTCTTTAAAAAGGACTTTCTGGTTCTGGGAGGTAAGTGGATTGCCCGAACTCAGGAGTTTGAGACCAGCCTGACCAAAGCTTTACATATAGAAAAAGTAGCCCAGGGTTGCGGTGGTACCTGTAGTCTCCGCTACTTGGGAGGACAAGATAAGAGGATCACTTGAAACCAAGAGTTTGAGGTTGCTGTGAGATATGACACCATGACCCTCAATCCCAGGGTGAATGAGTGAGACTGTCTCAAAAAAAAAAAAGAAAGAAAGAAATAGAAAGAATTTTCTCTTTTATAGTGAAATTTCAGGCTTCACTATGTTATCATTGAGAAGAAAGAAACGTTGAAGGAAGCAACAAAAAAGCAAAGGAACCAGTATAGCTATGTGTTGGCACTGAGCCCTTTTTGCCAGTTTAAAAAAAAAAAGTATTTGTTGTTCTATACTTAAAAATACAGTTCACATGGATGGAGCTGGAGAATGTTCTTCTGAGCAAAGTATCACAAGAATGGAGGAAAAAGTATCCAATGTACACACCCCTATTATGAAACTAATTTATACCTTTTATATGAAAGCTATAACCTAATAACAGCCTAAGAATACGGGGAGGGGGGAGGGAGAGGGGAGGGGGGAATGGGTGGAGGGAGGGGGATTGGCGGGATCACTTCTGAGGTTTATCTTACAAGGGTACAAGTGAATCTTTCTAAGAGTAGAATGTGAACATTTTAGAACAATAACTGAGAAAATGACACGAAGGCTAGGTTGACCAGTTTGATGGAAGTATTTCGGATTGTGAGTGACAACCCCACACTGTACCCTAGAAGTGCATTAATGTACATAGTTACCATTCAATAACAAAAAAAATACAGGTATGGTATCATAAATTTCACTCTTCACTTCTCATTACCTAAAAACTTACTATGAATAAATCATTTGCAATGTACAGAGAATCTGTATAAAGAATATACAAACCCAGAACATTTATGGATTACCCTGATAATTTTTCCTTGTGAGCCATAAATTTTAAGTCATAATATTCTGTCCTACCAGCTAATCCACGTCTTAGTGACCAGGATTGTTTTCCATCTCATTTTGAAAGTCAAAACTCCTTTCATTATATAATATTTCAAATGCCCTAATACCAATACTATCTACTTCTTCCAGGTCATTTTCTATTGTATTATTTTTTTATTCCTTTATTAAAAACAAACAAACAAAAACAAAAAAGAGCTAAGATTACTACAATAGCCACACAAGTTAAGTTTCTTTTCAACCATGAATCTATGAAACATTTTTCCAAATACTGTACCTGGAGGTAAGACAGTCTGGGAAGGCATTGTGCTGATCACAGGTTCCAAGGGACTAGGCTGATATATTGCATCTACAGGATTAATAGTACTCTAAGATAAAGAAACACAGTATAGTTATTTTTAATTAAATGTCCTTCGCCTGCCAGCCCTCCCAAATGAATGAAATGCCCACGTTTCTGACAGGAAAATCCTAGGGCAGTCATATAGATATGTTGATCAAAATGCAAAGAGGAAATGAAACAGCTTTTCTATACAGAAGTGTGAGAGTCTCACGATAAAGCACAGTAAGCAGAGAAAATGAATGAATCTCTGTCATTTAAGAAGGTAAAGCTAAATGCGAAAACTTGGAAGGAATTATAAAGTGATGTAGGGAGATTTCAGGAAGCCAAAACAATACCCTCTCGATTCAAGTCAGAGTTTTTCAGATTCTTAATTCACCACAAATTACTGTTTCCCTATCAAAGACAGAGAAATTCCTTCTTGCTTTGGTGCTAAACGTTATACCTGTGACCAGCTAATGTATATAAAACAACAGGATCTCATCTTTGGTCCCACACCGCGGCTGCCTTTCATCACTCTACGTAACACAGCATACTCGTCCCTGGGTGTCTGTAGAGAATTGATTCCAGCATCCCCTTTGATACCAAAATCCACGGATGCTTGAGTCCTTGATATAAAATGGTGTAATATTTGCATGTAACCTCCACACATCCTCCCACACCATTTAAATCATGTCTAGATTACTTACAATACCTAATACAATGTAATACTAAATAAATAGCTGTTATACTGTATTGTTCAGAGAATAATAAGGAAAAGGTCTGTACATGTTCGGGACAGAGTAAATTTTCCCCCCAAAATATATTTGATCTGCATTTGGTTGTATCTACAGATGTGGCACCCATGGAAGCAGAGGGCTCACTGTATAGGCATCTAATTCTATGGTCACTAAAAGGGGAGAGATGTATCTTCTAATTGGGGAGTATGGGGAATAAGACTTCTTTTTGAGAATTTATAGAGAAAAAAATACTCAAACTTATTGTTATAATTTTAGAAAGAAAAAGGCCAGCTTCAGTGGCTCATGCCTGTTATCCTAGCACTCTGGGAGGTTATAAGGTGAAAGGACCGTTTGAGCTCAGAAGTAGAAAACCAGCCTGAAGCAAGAGTGAGACCCCCCTGCTACTGAAAATAGAAAGATGAGCCAGGTGTTGTGGAGGCCGCCTGTAGTCCCAGCTACTTGAGAGGCTGAGGCAGAAGGATTACTTGAACCCAGGCATTTGATGATGCTGTGAGCGAGGCTGACACCAAGATCTTTATCCTAGGGCAAGAAAGAGACACTCTGGTCCCCTGCCCTCTCCCAAATAATGCCAGGTTTCTCTGATTCTCTGAAAGCCAAGAAAATATTCTGACAGCATGCTGGCATTTTAAAAACAAGACTGGGCCAGGTGTGGTGGTTCACACCTACAATCCTAGCACTCTGGGAGGCCGAGGCAGGTGGATTGCCCTGAGCTCACAGGAGACCTGCCTGAGCAAGAGTGAGACCCCACCTCTAGAAACAGCCAGGTGTGGTGATGGGCACTAGTACTCCCAGCTACTCAGGAGGCTGAAGCCAGAGAATTGCTTGAGCCCAAAAGTTTGACGTTGTTCTGAGCTATGATGCCCCAGCACTCTACCGAGGATAACAAAATGAAACTGTCTCAAAAAAATGAAAAATAAAAATAAAAAATGCAAACAAGACTGCATAGTTTTACTGACTTTTTTAAAGGGATGATGGAGAGATTTTAAACCAGGTCTTTGCCAGAGTAAAGTTTAAATTGACCACTTAGAGGCATAAACTGGACAAACCCAAGAAATAAAAATGTAAGTTCTTCACCTTTCCTTAAACTGGAAAACTAAACATTAAATATACATCATGTAAAGCTTATAACAGAAAACACTAAAACTGAATTATAAGGGAATTATCTGGTTAATGAATGAGCCCAAAAAGTACTTAAAAAACTTAAAAGTACCTAACAATGGGGGGTCAAGGTGTATGGCACGCCTCTTGAGGATAAGACACAATTGTACAAGGGACCTTAAATGCAATTAGTGTAACCTAATTCTTTGTACCCTCAATGAATCCCAACAATAATTCTTTAAAAAGTACCTAATAATAGAAATTGGAATATGGTAAAGTTTTCGTAGAATTCTCATTTAATGTTTAAATTAAAAAAAATTAAACCTAAAAACTCCATCTACATAAAAGCTCACAGCAACCTCAACTCTTGAGCTCAAGAGATCCTCTTGCCTTGGCCTCCTGAGTAATTGGGACTATAGGCACCCACAATGCTCAGCTTTTTTTTTTTTTTAAGATAGAGTCATTCTGTCACCCTGGCTAGAGTGCCATGGTGTCATAGCTCACAGCAACCTCAAACTCTTGGGCTCAAGTGATCCTCTTGACTCAGTCTCCCAAGTAGCTGGGACTACAAAGCACTTGCCACAATTTTTAGAGATGGGATCTCCACTCTTGCTCAGGCTGGTCTTGAACTTATGAGCTCAAGTGATCCACCCGCTTCGGTCTCCCAAAGTGCTGGGATTACAGGCACAAGCCACTGCACCTGCCCAAAATGGCTTATTTTAATTGGCTATTTAAATATTTGAATGTGTGTGGGCTACATGTATTTGTCAGTTCAGACAGCAACCCTTCGTAAATTCTAATAACCCCTGTCCCTTCAAAACTGGCTGACAAAATTTTGGTAATGATAGATTGAAGGATTCCTTGAAATAGATATCTTCCCATACACCTAAAAACAAACAAAAAAAATACTACACTAAAATTTCGGTCCTTATTGGTGTACTTGTGAAACACACCTCTGATAAAGGTAAATGACTTGAAATGTTTTCATCTCTTAAACTATACAGAAAGTTATTTATAAACCGAACCATTTCCTAACCATTTGAAAAACATTCTTACTTTTGGGCAGTGCCTGTGGCTCAAAGGGTTGGGCACTGGCCCCATATGCCAGAGGTGGTGGGTTCAAACCCAGCCCTGGCCAAAAAAAAAGAGAGAGAAAAAATTCTTATTTTTTCACCGTTACTTCTAAGAATAAAATTATACTTAAAAAAAATCATGGTACAAAGCTTGAGAAGTGTAGTAATCCTCAGCTCTAATTCACTGTGACATCAATGAAACTCATGTAATACAACATGGCATATAATAAATTACAAAAAAAAAAAAAAAAAAAGAGGCTGTTTCCTGCTTTAGTTACCGTAAAACTAGGGTAGCACAAACTATAAACCCTCGAACTCTAGTTCTAACTAGTAAATAGTGACAATAAAATTTTCTTCTTTCTTTTTAGAGATAAGGTTGAATATAAGGGAAGAGTAAAAAGATAAGAGGAAAGAATAAGAAATTGCTATAAGTGAAAGAATTTATGTAACTTATTCAAACAAAAAATGCAGTATATACCACGCTAGCAATGACAGTTAATACATGTACACAACATCTAAAAGCAAAAGAAAAGAAAATAACAGGAACCTATAAACATGTTTAATTAGATTAACACTATTATTCCTCTTCCCCTCTGCATTCATTTGCTAAAAATTTGACAAGAAATACAGCATTGAGTTATGCCTTATTTAACTGTAAAAGCCAAGTTTTCATATCATGATTACCATTCAAGTTAATGCATGCAAAGTGATTCAATCTGAACCAAAACTTAAGAAAAAATTTAAGATTATTATTTCCCCTCCAAATGATTGCTGAAAGATGGAGTCAAGGAAAATTGCAGGAGTAAAAACCAAAAAGCAGTGAAAAGAAGAATTTGTATTGAGGTATGAGTAGAAATTCAGGCTTCTCCTGATATGACTGGTTATAATGCTCTGCAGAAGTAAAGGGACACAAAAGATTAGATTAAACTTACTATAATTCCATCTGCATGCTTCTCCGCATTACTCTGGTCCTTAAGGAAAAATGTTAAAAATATTAACTTCACTGTTACATTATATAACTCCTTGTGCACTTTCCTAACGAGAGCTTATCTAACTGGGTAAGTAATTATGTTAGAACTCTTATTCTGTTTGCACTAAGATTTTAATTCCACCTGTACAAACCTAGCCACACATAATTCTAACAACAGCTACACAACAATCAATACCAATAGCATGGCAATTGTTTTTCTATTCAGGCATTTAATTAAGTTCATTGTGCAAATACTCCACATGGATGAACCTTGAAAACATTATGCTAAGTTAAAGAAGCCAGTCATAAAAGACAGCGCTATTTATATAAAATGTCCAGCATAGCCAAATCCAAAGGCTGAATTAAGGGCTCAAGGGAGGTTATTGGGAGGATGAGGGGAAGATTCAAGATGCTCTTCAACTTACAATAGGGTTACATCCCAATAAACCCATCATAAGTTGAAAATACCTTAAGTCAAAAATGCACTTAATACATACATACACTTAACCTACCAAATAATTATAGCTTAGAATAGCCTACAGTTAGGTAAAGCCATCTAGCCAAACAGTTTACTACAGAATCAAATACTCCTGAGTCAAACCACCGTGAGTTAGGGACCTGTAGAGGGAATGACTGCTTACTAGGTACAGGGTTTCTTTGGGAGCGATACAAATGTGCCAAAAGCAGGCTATGACGATGGTTGTACAACTCTGTAAATATACTAAAAACCACAGAAGTATGTACTTTAAATGGATAAACTTAATGGTATACAATAGAATTTTTTTTTTTAAAAAGCTGTTGAGAAATTAATGAATACTGATGAAAAAAAGTCTATGCAGAAAAAAGTTTCAGGGGAAAAAACTGAGATCTACCGAAAAACTGAAATGTATCTGTGGTTAGATAACTCAGTCCTAAAAGGATAATCTAGGCCTATGCTGTCTGGCTTGATAGCCACCAGTAACATGTGGCTACTGAGCACTTGAAATGTGGCTGGCTCAGCCCAGGAGAAGTGGCTCACACCTGTAATCCTAGCACTCTGGGAGGCCAAGGCAGGTGGACAGCTTGAGCTCATGAGTTTGAAACCAGCCCAAGCAAAAGTGAGACCTTGTCTCCACTCAAATAGAAAACCTGGGCAGCACCTGTAGCTCAAACGGCTAAGGCCCAGCCACATACACCAGAGCTGGCAGGTTCAAATCTGGCCTGGGCCTGCCAAACAATGACAACTACAACCAAAATTTAGCCGGGTGTTGTGGTGGGCACCTGTAGTCCCAGCTACTTGGGAGGCTGAGGCAAGAGA